ACATCTTAATTTCAATCTCTGACTACCATCTCCAACCTGTCCAGTTCACTTGCTCTGCTGTTTCTACCAAGACAGTTATTCAACTGCATCAAAAACATACTTACAATTCATTTCCTTACCCACTTAGATTCGAGTCCACCACGACATGCACACCCCTGCAGACACTCTCAAAACACCCTGGTCTTCCTCTCCAGACCATCCTCCTATTCCACACTTGTACCCAAATGCCACCAATGACTACTAGTGTTTACTGAATACTCATCATATGCTAGGCCCTATTTTAAGCATTTTACATTAATTCATTATTAATTCTTTTAATTCTCACAACTTTGTAAAGTGGGTGCTATTATTACCATCCTCATTTTATAAACATTTAACTTGCCAGGAAAGATGCGTAACACTAAATGGTCTCATTTTAAACGGATGGCAACAAACCTCTAGTGGGCACAGAGCAAAGAACAGCGATACTGAACATTCCTCGGTACTTTGATTTTCTACTCTCTAGGACAGATCATTTCATACCTTCTGCTCTCTGCACAGACTTTCCTCCTTCAGCTGAAAACCTCACTTTATGCTTCCCTGAGATTACAGAAGCCAAGAGACAGAAACACCCAAATCTTCCAATCCCCAAACAGCAGCTGCAGAATGCTCCTCCTCCTCTCTTCCTGCTACAAGGAGAGTCTGTGCCTATCAAAGCCAAGTCCTCCAATGTGCTCTAGATCCTGTCTTCGCCCAGCCACTCAGGGTCTTTGTCACCCCTCCCCCCAGCATCAATCCCTCCCCCTCTACAGGGCTATTCCTGGCATCACACAAGCACCCCATAAGCCCTTCTTTGGCCCTACATTCCTTCTGGTCACCAATCCATTTTTTGGCTCACTTTCACAGCAAAACTTCTCCAAAGAATTGTCTATGCTTTTTCTTCCACCCACTCTAATCAGCTTCTGCCACCATCACTCCTCTGAAAGTGTTCTTGTCAAGGAGGTCACTAATGATCCTCGCTCCATCTCTCAGCAGCATTGGTCACGACTCTTTGCCTCCATCTCCATATACTGGAGCACACAGAGCTCTGTGGGTCTTCTCTTCCACCAACACTCTCTTGAGATGGAATCCATTCTCGAGATGCGAGATGCAGGCCCAGCGCAGTGGCTCATGCCTGTGATCTCAGCACCTTAGGAGGCCAAGGTGGGAGGATCACTTAAGCCCAGGAGTTTGAAGCTACAGTGAGCTATGATCTCACTACTGTACTCCAGCCTGGGTGACATAGAGACTGTCTCAAAAATAAATAAATAAAAAAGGACATGTGATACCATCTACCACTTCTCGAAGTATATCCCTGGGCCTGATCACTCCCTTAGCTTTACATTTCACATTTAATGTACCTAAAACCCTGACTTCTGTACCAATACCTGTTCATATCCCTGTTTCCTTCTCTGAGTAAATTGTTCCACCATCCCCCAACTGCAAAAACCTGGACGTCACCCTCAGTTGCTTCCTTCCCTGCACCTCCACATCCAGTGGCTCTCTCAGGCCTACAAAATATACTTCAAATCCATCCACCACCTCTCCTGACACCATCCTCGCCCAAGCCACCATCATTTCTCACCTAGCCCGTGATAAATGCATCCAATAAGTCTCCCTGATTTCACTCTTGCCCACCCAAACTCCATTTACTCTGTGTTTTAAAGCTCTGCCATGGTTTCCCAAATAAACTCCAAATGCCCCACCCATAAGACCCAACACAATGTTGCTGTTCCTCCCTGTCCTCACCGCACCTTCCCCCTGGCTGGCCTCAGTCCAGCCACCCTGGCATTCTTTCTCTTCACAAGGCTCTCTCTCTCCCAGATCCGGGTCTTTTTCTTTTTTTTCTTTTGAGACACAGTCTCTCTCGCTCTGTCACCTCAGGTAAAGTGTATTGGCGTCATCATAGCTCACTGCAACCTCAAACTCTTAGGCTCAAGTGATCCTTCTACCTCAGCACCCCCGAGTAGCTGGGACTACAGGTGTGTGTCCCACATCCAGCTAATTTTTTCTATTTTTAGTAGAGACAGGCTCTCACTCTTGCTCAGGCTGGTCTCAAACTCCTGACCTCAAGAGATCCTCCCACCTCAGCCTCCCAGAGTGCTAGGATTACAAGTGTGAGCCACCAGCTCTGGGTCTTTGTAGTATCGTTGCCTCTTTCTGGAGGGCTCTTTCCAGGGCTCTTCACATGACTGATCCCTTATCATCCTTCAGGTCTTGGCTCAAATGTCTGCCTTTCAAAGAGCCCCTCCCTGACCATTTTATCCAAAGTGGTATCCTCTAGTTAGTCTCTCCCCATTCTGTTTATTTCCTTCGAGCATTTATCATAATCTGTAATGATCTTGATATTTACCAGTTTACATGTTTGTTGTCTGTCTCCCACACAAGAGAAGCAAACCAGTTCTTAATCTGTCCTGTTCACCACTTTATTCTAGTACAGAGACTGACATATATTAGTAATCACTGGATAAATATTTGGTCACCAATCCATTTCTTGCCTCACTTTCACAGCAACATTTCTCCAAAGAATTGTAAATAAATTATATACTGCCACAAAAAATCCACTGTTTTCTTTACAAAAAGAATATATTCCTGACTACAGAAGAGGCAAACATCTCTTTAAATGACTTCATAATTCAGGGCAGAAAATACTACATGTGGAAATTCATGGTGATGAAAAGTCCTGCTTGTAAACAGAAAACACAAGGACTATACTTTCTCCAACTACATGTAGGACTTAAACATGCAGCGTCTGACAAAGGGGCAGAGTGAGCCCCTTCCCTTACCATTTCTGCATATTCTACCTGCTCCCCTTCACTGTATAGCTCTTGGGGCAGGTTATAGATCCGTAGGATGTTATCAGCACTATTAGTCAAGATGCAGGAACCATCAGGGGCCCTAGAAATAGAAAAGAGTTAGAAAGTTGGACAGCCCTGGGTTTTCCAAGTGTAGGGCTAGGGCTGAGCCTAACTCTGGCGTAGGTAAGCCCCAAGGCCTTGACGGAAGTGGAAGACACAAAATCCTAGATGAAACAGAAGCTTAGTCTAAGAGAGATTCTTACTCCTTCTCCCACCTCTAGCAGATCCTTCTTCTAGATAACTGGGGTGTTTTAAGTGAAAATCCTGGGGGTAGTCATCTCCCTGCCCCATTATCCTTACTTACCACTTACAGCCTTTCAAGAAGTTCTCAGGTTGGGTGCTGAACTCTGACCAGGAACCACTGAGAAATCGAGGTAGCTGGGAGAAGCTGTAGTTCCAAGTGCTGGAAGGAAGATGGGGGGACAACAAATTTGGGTCGCCAAGGCAGAGGGGAAATGGGCCTGGAGAAGCGGGGCTGAGGACTGGTGGATAAGGTCTATCTGACACTTCCAACCTCCTCAGATTCCAGGGTCAGCTGCCATCACCACTTACGTGTCTCCCTCATCCTCTGGAGCGACTTCCTCAGACACACCCTCCATGGCTTCTCCAGACCCCAACTCTGGCCCGTTCGTTTCTCCTGCAGGCAGGCTTGCATTTTCAGAAAGGTCTTGCTCCTCGATTCGAGGACTCAGCTCAGTAGGAGCACCATACTCCGTTTCCAGGGGAGTGGAAAGAGTAGCTGGGTCCCCTTCCCCCAGCTCCTGGGACACAGCTGAGCCAGCCACAGGAACCGGGGACATCCGGGGTGGCTCATCCCCGACGGGTGGCGGTGGCATCAGCTCGGGGTCGGTATTTTTATCCATCAGGGAAACCTGAGGAGAGAGAGGGGCTGGAGCTGAAGCCTGGTCTGAAGGAAGGCAGTCCGGAGCTAAGAGTTGCGCCTCCAACGTCTTCATACTGCAGAGGAAGCGCGGCAGACATTGGCCCAGGCCGGGTAACCCTCTTTCCGCCGGCTGCCCGCTGCCTGGCCCGCGGAGCGGCCGCGGCGACTTCGAAGTTCTCAAGGATCCGAAGCCGAACTAGAGAAACCCACCAGTGCCTTCCTTCGTCTTCCGGGAGGGGGCAAAACACCCCCGGAAGATAGGGCGAACGCGAGAGAAACAAACTTCGAAATCACAGCGACCCTTAGTACCCTGGGTCGCTATGTGCCACTTGCTCTCGCGGGATTTGAGCCCACCGTCCAATTGGGCCTCGGCATCCCGGATCAGATTTCGCGGGCCACCCACGGAAGGGGCAGAATCGGGACGCAACAGGTTGGGTTTCCGTTCCCATCAAGCCCTAGGGCTCCTCCTGGCCGCTGGGAGTTGTAGTCTGAACGCTTCTGCCTTGCCGAGAAGTGCCGGCGCGCCCCCTACCGTCTCCCCCGGTAATTCTTAAAGCGCCTCCCCCCATCGCCTGCAGAGGGCGCCAGCACTGTGTTTGATTTTACAGGTTTTGCACCTCTTTTGCATCTCGTTCGCCAGATTGCTCAAAACTGTGTCTCTCTTCATTCATTCAATAAACATTTATTATCGAGCTCTTACTTGCTACCCAGCACTGTACTAGGCATTGGGGAATACAACAGTGAATAAGATAACAGACAAGTTCTCTACCTTCATAAGATTTATGTTGCTTTATATTGAAGGCAATGAACAAATCTTTTCAGATAGTGACAAGGACTGTGCAGGAAATTAAACAAGATGGTGTGATATAAAGTACTCGACGAAACGTTAGATTGGGATGTTCAGTAAAGCCTTCCTAAAAGGTGATATTTTAGCCGATTAGAAGAAACTATCCAGCTATTTGAGAGAGCAAATGCAAAGCTTTCTTCCTTCCACCCTTCATATCTGACACAGTGGCAGGAGTCCTCCAAAATGGTTTCCACCAATTCTGCCCTCACAACTCTGGCTTGTAGAACTTTCTCACCCCAAAAGCTTAATAGCTACAGCACCAACACGGAGAGAATCCTGACTCCCCCGCACCCTTCTCTCCAATTCCTTTGCCACCTCCGGCAGGCGAATTACTTGCCCTTACTTGTCATGGCGACTGTCCAGCTTTGTGCCAGGAGCCCCGCAGGGGTTGCTGGGATTGGGATTTTCCCCTCCCATGTGCTCAGACTGGCGCTAAAAGTTTTGAGCTCCTCAAAAGTCCAGAGCCACCATCCTGGGCGCCGGTAGCTGCAGGGCTCCGGTGGCACCTGGCGTCCGAGCTTGGAACGTGCTTCCCAGAACGGTGACACGCTCCCCTGAGGATTGGGTAAGCTCGAGACTTGGCCTGATGAGTCCTCTCTGAGTCACGGGCTCTCGGCTCCGTGTATTTTCAGCTCGGGAGAATCGCGGGGGGTGGGGCAGTAGGGGACTTAGCGAGTTTGGGGGGTTAGGATGGAAGCTTGGCTGGTGGGATCAACATAGGATTGCAATATTGAGAGGCCTGGGTGTACATTATGGGGATGCTGGCACCAGCTGAACTCAAAGCTGAATGCCTATGCAGGGGAGTGGGACTTCGGGGAACACTGAGCCGGCCTAAGAGGTACTTCTTTCCCCAACACCCACCTAGTGGGTGTGTGGAATGCCTGAGAGATCTCAAACGCATAAAGCATTGGGGTCTGAGACTTTCGGATCTCGAAACTTTGGGAACTCATGGCTTGAGACTTTATAGCCCACGGCATCCTAGTGAAACCTTGGGCTCCATCCCGAAATGATTATTTGGGGTGATCTGGAAAGCCCAAGCTAAGGTCTCACAACTTCCGGACCTTTGTCCTTCCTGAAGCGATCTTTCCAGCCAGCCCCCGCTCCGCTGCATGGAGAAAATCCAGTCAAAGACTGTCAGCCGTGGAAGTGAGAAGTGCTAAACGAGGGGTTTGCCCGCGAGGCCAAGAAGGACAGTCCTAATTTGAGAGGCCCAGCAGCCCTGTTATTGTTTGCCTCCACATTTACATTTCTGCTTCTCACAGTAGCATTTCCGGTTTCTTTTTGTGGGACTAGCTCACTGTTCACCCGATGGGAGGGGAGTAAAAAGAGAGAAATCTCCTAGGCTGGCTCTTCCTACCTGCAGAAGGAGGCTACTATTCTCCTCCCTCACTTTTTTTTTTAAATCTGTATTACTTGGTTACTGCCTTGGCAAAGGAAGGGGTATTTGTTTTGATGCAAACCTCAATCCCTCCCCCTCTTTGAATGGTGTGCTCCACCCCCTCCCCGGGGCGCCCGCAAGCTGGGCGGACGCTACCATTGCGTGGGACGGGATGAAAAAACAGTGTGCAGAAGGCAAGCTCGGGTATTTTGAAGAATGGGTACGTCTGAGAATCACATTTTAACAGAGCGCAGTGACGGGCCACTTGATAAATTGTCAGAAAGACAATCGACCTATTACCTGGCTTTGCGCCACTCCGATTCCGGACGCAGACCGAACGTCCTGAAAACGGAAGGGGCAGGCCTTGGAGACGGTGGGCCCCGAGGTCCTAAGTGCACCCTGTGCTCCCGGCAAGGTCCCAGTGGGAGGCGACGCAACCCGCGCCAAGTCCGGCTCGTGCTCTCTGCTCCCGCTTCTTCATCTCTTAGGGCGCAGTTACTGTATTCAGCAGGTTACCACGCACCTGCCCGGTACCAGGCACTGTATGCTGTACTTACGTTCTTGCCTTTTTTTCTAAATTCAGGTCGAATTTACAGTGCAATTGTACGGATATTGAGTGCACAGGTAGATAAGTTTTGGCAACTAACCACCTGTACTGCCTAGCTAAATACAGAACGTCGTCATCATTCCTGAAGCATTTCCTCACGCCTCTTCCCAGTCAGTCCCTGATCTCTACCTTTGTTTTTATTTCCGTAACCATTTTGCCTGTTGGAGAACTTCATATAAAGTGGAATCACAGTTAGTGCTCATTTTTTTGTCAGGTTGCTTTCCTTAAGCCTAATGTCTGTGACGTTCATCCATGTTGTTGCATATATCAATATTTTGCTTTTTTATTTAGTATAGTCCACAATTGCGTGTCCATTCTCCTTTTTATGGTCTTTTGAGTTTCCCGTTTGCGGTTATTATGAAATAAAGCTGCTATAAACGTTGTTGTATAATTCTTCTTGTGATCATGTTTTAATATTTCTTGGATAAATACTTAGGTGTGGAATTGCTAGGTCAGAAGTAAAGAGTAGGGTGAGTGCCATGTTCAAGCCTGTGATCCCAGCACTTTGGGAGGCTCAGGCAGGAGGATGCTTGAGCCAAGGAGTTCAGGGCTGCAGTGAGCTATGATTGCACCACTGCACTCTAGACTGGGTGACAGAGTGAGACCTCATTTCTAAAAACGAACAAAAAAGGAAGTAATAGATATATTTTTAACTTTATAAGAAACTCTGAGTTTTCCAAAGTGATTCCTACCATTTTACACTCTGACTAGCAAGATATAGGAGTTATGATAGTTCCATGTCCTTTTCAACATTTGGTGTTGTCACACTTTCTAACGTGGTATATCACTGTGGCTTTAATTTACAGTTCTCTGTTGGCTAACCATGTCCAGCAATTTTTCATGTGCCTACTGGCCATTCATATTTCATATGCAAAGCCTTTTGCCTATTATTTGGGGGTTTTGTTTGTTTTTAATGTTCAATTGTGAGCATACTTTATATTTACTATATTCTGGATACAAGTCCTTTGTCAGATACATGTGTTGTAAATATTTTCTTCTAATCTGTTGCTTGCCTTTTTTTTTCTTTTTGCCAGTCTAATTTAGCAGTGGGGGGTTGTATACCAACTTTAGTGACACTAATGTTAATAAGTTCTGTTAACCCACTACAGAATTCGAGACCACCCTGAACAACGTTGGACCGGCCTATGAACCATTATTAATTAATTTTTTAAATTAATTTTAAAATTAATTTTTGCTCATGGTATGAGGTATAGGGGTCAATGCTCAGGTTGGTTTGTTTCCTGTATGGATATCTAGTTATTTAATTGTTGTATGGTTGGAGTTTAGGTCTGCCATCTTAGTGCTATCTTCTCTTTGTCTCCTCTGTTCTTTGCTCTCTTCAGACATTTGAGGAAAAAACAATACCAATCTTACATAAACTCTTTCAGAAAATAGAGGACATTTTCTTAACTCATTTTGTGAGATCAGCATAATCCTGATACCAAAACATTCCAAGAAAAGAAAATTTAGACGAATATTCTTGTTAGCATATACATATAAAAATCTTAACAAATTTTAGCAAACCAAACCTGGCAATATATGAAAAAGATGAATACATCCTGACCAAGTAGGGTTTATCCCAGGATTGCAATGTTGGTTTAACATTCAAAAATTGATGGGGCACAGCTGCTCATGCCTGTAACCTGGAAGACCAAGGCAGGAGAGTAGCTTGAAGCCAGGAGTTTGAGACCACCCTAAGAAGCATAGCCAGACCCTGTCTCTACAAAAAAATAGAAAAATTAGGTGGGGCTGGTGGCAAGAGGCTGAGGCAGGGTGATCTCTTGAGCCCAGGAGTTTGAGGTAGCAGTGAACTGTGATGACCCCACTGCGTTCTAGCCCAGGCAGTAGAATGAGACACTGTCTCCAAAGAAAAGAAAATTTCAAAAATTGATTTATGTAATTTACCACATTAAGAGATTGAAGAATAAAAATCCTATCATCATTTCAACACATGCAGAAAAATATATTAATGATATTCAACACCTATTCATGATTTCAAACCAACCAACCTCCTAACAAAGGAGAGAAAGGAAACTTCCTTAATCTAATAAAAGGGCATCCACATGAAGGTAGCATTAACAACATGCATAGCAGTGAAAACAACATTCAGTGAAAAACTGAATACCTTTCCTCTAAGAACAGGAACTAAGAAAGGAGTTGACTCATACCCCTTTGACATCATACTGGAGATCCTAACCAGGCAAGAAAAAGAAATATATAGCATAACTATTAGAAAGGAAGAAATAAAACTTCTTCACAGCCAGTATAATTGTGTATAGAAAAAGTCCTAATGGAAAATCCATAATAAGCTACCAGAACTAATAAGTAAATATGGCAAGGTTGCAGTTTACAAGGGCAATATATAATCATCCCCAAGTATCCGTGGGAGACTGGTTACAGGACCTTCTCCCATACCAAAATCTATGAATGCCCAAATCCTGGATATAAAATGATGCAGTATTTACATGCAACCTATACACATCTTCCCATATACTTTAAATCATCTCTAGATCACTAAAAATACCTAACACAGTGTAAATAGTTAGTATACCATATTGTTTAGGGAATGATGACCCAAAAAAAAGTCTGTACATGTTTTCATACAGACACAGCCCTCCTTTTATTTCTGCCCAATATTTTCTATCTGTGGTTTGTTAAATCAGCAAATGGGGAACCCACAGAAACAGAGGGCCAACTACATAAATTCTATTTTTATATACTAGCAACCATTGAGTCTGAAGTTGGAAAATGACTTTAAAACAGTACCATTCACAGTAGCATCCAAAAATTTTGACATACTCAGGGATAAATTTAACAAGAGGTGGGCAAGAACTCTACATTGAAAACTACAAAATATTGCTGAGAGAACTTAAGGAAGATTTAAATAATAATGAGAGATACTATATTTGTGGATTGGACGACTCAATGGTATTCCTTAGATGACGGTACTCTCCAAAGTGATTTAATTCCATCCAAATCAAAATCCTCAAAGGCTTGTTTGTAGGAATCCACAAGCTGTTTCCAAAATGAAATGAAAAAGTAGTATCAAAGTTGGAGATCTTAAGCGATCTGATTTCAAGATTACTATAAAGCTGCAGTAAAACACAAGAACCAACAAGCAGACTAGAGTCCAGAAAGATATATAAATGTGGTCAAATGATTTTTTACAAAGATGCCAAAGTAAATCAATGGGAAAAGGAAAGTCTTTCAACAAATAGTGTTGAAACAACTGAGGAAAATAAATGAACCTTGACACCTGCCTCACATAATACACAATGATTAATTTGAGATGAATAACACACCTAAACATAAAACTATAAAACTTTCAGAAGAAAACAGAACACCCATCTTTGTTCTGGTGGTGGTGGGTTTACAGGGCTATATCAAAATTTGTCAAATTAATCAAGATTGATATGCTTCAATGTATGTAAGTTTTTCTTCAAAAACTTTAGTGGGGGCCAGGTGCACTGTAATCCTAGCACTCTGGGAGGCCAAGGAAGGAGGACCGCTTGAAGTCAGCAGTTAAAGACCAGCCTCAGCAAGAACGAGACCCCGTCTCTACTAAAAATAGAAAGAAATT